TCCCCCCCCCCCCCCCCCCCCCACCCTCATCTGTGCGCGCCGCGAGTTCAAGTAATCAAATTTATGATTATTATATGTGCATGGGGTTTATTATGTCGCTCTACCTCCCCCCCCCCTCCCCCGCATAAATACAAACTTTAGGAAAACAGTTCTAAAGCCCAGTAATTTCCAGAGTTTACTTTAGATGAAGCACGCGTAGGCCTTTGCGCATGCGTGTAAAAGGAAGGCTGTGGTACTGCAGCTCAGCACTTTGTGCGCTTACCCTATTGAGAGCATCCACAGAAGCTGCATGCGTCCAGAAGCAGTCATGAACCGAGGCAAACATAATGCCCTCTCGAAGACAATGCAGAGCCGTCAACATCATGTGACAGGAGTCGAGAGAGTGGATGAAGTTGGGGGGGAAGGCGTTGCGCTGTTTGACCGGGTTCGGTGGAGGCAGACCAACGAGGGAGTCTCGAGAGCTGAAGGAGCTGGTGGATCGATATTGGCGCTCAATACGCCTTGCAGCTCGAGTCAACGCGGCGACCCACTCCTCTTTGGGAGTGTTTGAGCCGCTCCAGAGGTCAAAGTCAATCTCGGATTGCTTGACATAAGGCTGAACGACAGGAAGCCCGAGAGGAGTAATCCAGCTGATACGACAGCCACGAGTACGCGTGATGTGTTTGGCCAACTGCAGTAAAAAACGAGAATAGACGTATATTCATACGGCAACAAAGGTCTATTAACCGGCAGTTCACTTCTGACTTCCAGCTACCATGGCCCCTTTGTATGCCATATTCGACCCCTGTCACAGTACTCATCTCACCTTTCCTCTGTCTTTGTGTCTGTCTGCCTCTTTTACATCTGTGAATCCCTCTTCTGTTCCCCACCCCTCGACTTTCTGTTACCTTGATGTTCCTACTCTCTATGATACCCGAAGTCAGCTAAAAGGCTAATGATAACTATCAAAACGCCTGCCATTTGTAATAATAATAATAATGACAAATCACGAGAATACACCAGTGAGTAATCTGCCTATTTACCCCCCTCCCCTCCTCCCATTTATCTGCATTCGACTCGAAGGCAGTGCATTTGGCTCAGCTGGTTAGCAGAAACAAGGCCAAGAAATTGGTGGAATGCGTTTAAGAAAAATCAGGACATTACAAAGCGTAGTAGACCCAATATGAGACAATGGCAATTCAAATAAAGCTGACTTA